TTTCTTTGTTTCCCTAAGAATGAACTTAAAATGGCAAAAAATAAATAAATATAAATTAAAACACTGCACCTAATTATTTCTAAAACTGAATTCTTGCTTTCAACACATTCTTTTTCTAGTCTTTCTCACCTCTGTTGATAGCAAATTCATTTTTACAGTTTTTCAAGATAGAATTACCATTGGTTCCTCTCTTACACTAGAACCCCAAATCTAATCTGTTAGCAAATTACATTGCTTTTTCATAAACTTTGTGGAGTGTAATCGTGTCTTAACTAACACAATCCTACTACAAGATATCATTATTTCTTGCCTGAGTTAACACACTAAGACTGTTACTCTTACAGATTATTTTCAACCCAGAAGTCAGAGTAGTAGATGAAAAAGGCTACATCATATTGTGCCAATTTTCTGCTGATAGCCTCTCTGTCTCAGGCATAAGGGTCTTCCTAGTAACTTTTTGATCTCATGTTGTATTATTTTCTTTCTGCATCACTTATCTTTTGCTAAAATGGCCTGCGGCCTGTCCCTGCAGGACTACTCCCACTTCAGCGTCTTGGCAGGTTGTTCTCACTGTCAGCAGTTTCTGTGGTTACCTCCTTACTCCTTCAGCTGTTCGATACTTTCTTCAAGTCATCACTTAAATGTCACTTTCTCAGTGAAGCCTACCTTGCTTGCCTAATTGATAAATTAGAATATCCCATTCTTGCTGTGCTTTGCCTCATTCCATATTCCTTCCCTGTTGCGTAACCCTTACCTCTCCCCACCCCACTAATGTTCTCATGTTACATAATTCAGGTATTTATTTTGTTTTTTTTTGTCTAACTCCTACTCTAGGACATGTATTTGATGATGACATGGATTTGTCTGTTTTGCTTAATGCTGTATCTATAGCTCCTGGAATATTCAGGCACCTAGTAGATCTACAATAAGTATTTGTTGAATGAATGAAATAAGTAATGCCTATCACTTATGATTAATAAACAGAAGTTATCTTCAAAGGGAGGAATGCAGAATTTGTTTTGTTTCCATTATAAGATGTATTTACTATATATCAGATATATTCCCCATACAATGGGAATAGGAATGGCCCTTTTCATTTTTCTAGAGAATTCAGTGACTTGTTGAAACCCTGATTTCCTGATTCTCCTTCAATTCTGGGTCTCCAAAATATGATCATTAGTAAATGATCATATAGTAAAGTACTTACTTTAAAGTATCCTAGAGGGCTAAACCTACATGGGATGGTTCATAAAAGGACAGATCATGATTACAGTTCTACAAGCTATACTACAGTACTGAAATTCTGAACATTTTATGTCTCGTCACTTTTTTTCTTTCCCTTTGAAATATATGACTATAATTGGAAGGTACTGGAAACCAATTTGATTAGATCTTGCATAATTTGGTGAATAATTATATGCATTCCAGTGAATCCACTGATTTGATTAGTATATATTTTTTCATGTTGGTCTTTCTTGTGAGAAGCCTAATGTCAGTTGGATATGCAACTCTAAAGCCAAAATCATGAATATTTATGTAATTTTCAGTAGCACAAATATTAATGCTAAATTATTGTATACAACTTTCAGATCCATCCTTAGGTCTTTTTTTTTTTTTTTAATTTATACATACAGGACTGGGCCACAGGCCAGATGTGCAGCGGGGTAAGAGGATTCAACAGGACAGAGTAGGGAGCAGAACAGGCAGATATACACTGCTAGGGGAACAGCGGGCCAGTCAGGAGAGGTCTACCATGCCATGTAGATAACTCCCCTGGCCAGGGATCGAATTTGTGCTGCAGGGGCTTTGATAGCTTCATAGTGCTGTGCTTTAAACTGTTGTGCCACAGGTAGTCCCTGGTCAGGCATTTTTTTAAAGCAGCACAGAATTCTAGGGTTACAAGTTTTGAGCTCATTTGATTTATGATGTTACTATACAGATACAAAAACTGAGGCCCATCAATGTTAAGTTATTCACCTAGATACCACAGAGCTGAGTAAACTTTTTGATCAGAACAAGTTATAAAAATAAAGCAAAGTTCTTGTGAGATTGCAATGGAAATAAAATTCTTATTATCGGGTAATTAATTGAGCATAACAATAACTAAAATATGTGATTCTAAATCCAATACAGTTCTACTTGTTTCCATGGTGATTAAGCTTTAGAATTGTGTGTGTGTGTGTGTGTACATACACACACACAGAGCGCGCAAAGGATAAAATAATTGTGCACATATATTTTAAAAAGGACTTCATAGGGATCTCCGGCCTAGGAGTGAAGTTTCAGTGCTATCACCTGTAAGACCTCAGTTCCATCCCCGATGAGGGAGGTAATCCACATGTGATGCAGCAGACTTCTGTCTCATCTGCTGTGTATTTTTTGCACAGTGTATTTCAGTATATCTGACTTGTTCCTCACAGTCACTGGTTAACCCTTTCACCCCCTAAATCGACACTCCAGTTCTTCTATGCAAAAAAACAGATTTCATGGACACCCTCATTAATAAGGATCACGTATCACAAAAGAGTAAGAATTTGTAGGTCACTTGAACTGTCTGTGGCATTCACATGAGAAGCAACCACTTAATTACAGAGATGGCTCCACAATAGGTGTAGCTTCTGCTACTTGGAGAATGAGTTTATTACCTAATGTTATTTTTTAAGATGCCAAGAGGCATTTTTAGACATGAGCATTTTGTCTCTGCCCCAGTGAGTCTTTATGAAGATTATTATGCAGGAGGAATGTGTCTACAGCAACAATGTGTCATTTCGCTTTAATGGCTTTGTTCAAGGGCTGGAGACATTTTTGTGGTATAATGAATTCACTTGGTCTCTTCATGTGTTTTTTTTTTACCGGCTTTGGAATCACATATTTTTCTAAGAGGTAGCATCATCAATAGCTTTTTTGTGTTAGCTTTGTTATAATTAAGAAACCCTACTGACATTGAGAGTTTTAGATATGTTGTATTAATGTAATGGAAAATATTTTTGATCCTCTGTATATAGCAGCACTCTCAAACTTCAGATAAAATTATGGCTAAATTAAAAATCTAAAAATGGTTAGTAGATTTCAGGAGGTAATGTTACCAGAATAGCTGCTGTGATTTCGAAGTTAGGATCTCTGCTAGCAGCATAATTTACAATTTCTTAAAAGTGAAAGTTTAAGTTTCTTAGACAAGTTCATTAACTTAGTTTCCTTTCTCCATGACTCACTTTCATTAATTCCTGATGTATGTGATGAGTTAGAGACCAGTAGCCTGAGAATAAAGCCACCAGGTTTCTTTTCTGAAAAACCATGTAAAATCTGGCCTCCCTATAGTACAAGTAAAACTTACTTGCAAGAACTACTCTGGCAACATTAATAGGACATAATTTTAATTGAAATGATTGGGCTGTTATTTTTTGGTAATAAATTGAAAGAACTTTTCAATTATTGCATTTCTTTCTTTTTAAAGAGGTTATGACAATTTTCTCATTGTTTTCCCTAGCATTGAATTAAGTCATGATTTACATATTGTAATGCACTTTTACATTCCAAAATATATTTACTTCCTTGGAAGTTTAAGTATTTGGCAACTATTGAAGTGCTGGGGAGATTAAAGAGAACTAAACACAACTTAACAGAATACTCAAGTACAATAGAGAATATAATAAACCACTAAAAATATTAAAATAAGCAAATAGGTAGAAATGATTACTTTGGCACACAAATACAGGCAAGAAAGTAACTGAAGCAGTAATAGTATAGTAGTAATTGAATCACCAGTGAAATAGTTTGTATTTGTCACCATAGGGCATGAACTTCCTTAGAGTAGGTAAAAAGAATGTTAAAAATATTGGTAACAGGGCCCTCCTTGGTGGCACAGAGGGTTAAGCACAGCACTAAGAAGCTAAAGCCACCTCAGCATGAGTTCAATCCCCACCTGGGAGGTGACCCACACGGTGCAGCAGACCTCTCCTGACCCACCAGCTGCACCCCTCAGCAGTATGCTTCCTCAATCGCCTGTTCTGCTCCCCACTCTGTCTCTGGTGAATATTCGCATTGCCCCTGCACCTCTGGCCTGTACCCCAGTTCTACATGCATAAATAAATAAATCTTAAATATATATATATTGGTAGCAATACTTTTCCTAGTTTATACCTAGCTGAATTCATTGTCTTGATGACTGCATTACTCAAAGAACTACATTAGTGCTAATCAAATGTGTGGTGAGGATATATAGTTCATTTGTGGGTATGTAAGATCTTAAAATAAGAGCGACTAGGCCAAATTTCTAAGGGAAAAGAAAAATGTGGGCTCACAGATTAAAAAAATCCTTGAAGGCACAAAATGATGTAAAAATAAGCTATTACATTATTATAAAAAACCTTGAAATAGAAAAACCGTTTCAACAATAAAAATATGGGTGCCTCAATGTGGCAAAATAAGTTGAGGAAAATGAAAAATCCTACTTGACCATGACCTCTCACAATACCCGGAGACGCAGTGGTGATGGGTGGAGCTGGGGTTTCTGATCCAGAAAGAACTTCCACATTCATGCTCACATTAGGGTCCTCTGTGGGAGTGGTTCTTTCAGATCTGTTTCTCTTAATCACTCTAAAAGCACAAATTCGCTACGATCAGATCCACCCAATTCCTCAAAAGAAGCTTACATGGGCCAATCTCAGCTCTTAAATTGAAAACAAACTTGAAGTGTGGGTCACCCACCTCCTGGAAAATCCCTCCCTGCTTCAATCTTAAAAGCATCTAAGCCGGGCCTTGAAAACGCTGGGGTGCTCGGTCCATCTCCACTTCCCTACCCGCAGCCTACAGCCCTCAGGCCCGCCGCGTGCCTCAGGGGCCTGTGGCGGCACACGACGGCCAGAGAGAAAGTGGACGCGCGTGCCCCACACGACGCCCCGCCCCCGGCGAGCGCGGCGGAAGTGGCTTGCTGGGGAAAGCAGACCGCGGGCCACCTGGCGCAGCGCGCATGCGCCCGCGCCCGCGCCCGCGCCGCCAGAGGTGGGGGCGGCAGAAGTGCTCCCTCCTCCGTCTCCGCCACCTCCGCCCCACAGACTCGGGCTCACGCCATTTTGCGCCCCCCCCTCCCCCGCCCTAGCCGAGCCACCTTTTCCCTTTCTACATGCTCAGGCCCCTTTCCCGCCCCTTTCCAAGCGTGTCCTGGGCCGCAGCAGCAGAAACCGCGCCGTCTGCACCCCTGCATTCTCCACGCGGGACGCGCAGCCGTGCCTACAAGTGTTCTTAAAGCAGAGGTTGTAGGGGGAGTGGGGGGCGGTGCGGGGCGGGCGGGGGAGAAGTCCGGGAGAGCGGAGGGACGCCGCCTGGCGAGCCCCGCGTCTCGGCCCCAGCGCCGGCCCCGCCCTGGTCCCGGCCGGGGTTTGCCGCGGGGGCGTAATTGGCGTTTGCGCGGGAGACCCTTGCGGCTCTCTGGTGTGAGGCGCTGGCGGGGCGCGGCGCCCTGGTTTTCCGGCTGAGCTAGGAGTTGGCTCTTGACTCCTCCCAGTCGGCGGGTGGGCGTGGGGCGAGGGGAGCTGGGCGGCTAGCGGCAGCGGGCGTTGCTGGGGAGTGTTAAGAGGCGCCTTCTGTCCGTTACTAGGGTTTTGGAGGCGAAGTCCTTCTAGAAGGAAATTGTTGTTTTAGAGGCGGCGTGAAGAAAGAGGTAGTGTTAGTGGAAGTGAGCCCCCAGAAAAAGGCAAAGAGCTGTTCTCGTGGGTTGAGTCTACATCTGTGATCCCTGGGGAAGTTATTTGTATCATTGTCTGGGTGTTTCATCTAGTCTGTAAAATGGGGGCAGCAATAGATCAAAATTGCAAGGGTTACACGAGATGATACGTTCAGTGCTTGGAGCAGTGTCAGGCTCTGCTTAGTACATGTTAACGAATTTTCTGCTTGTGTTTTGAGAAAGTCGGATTGATTGTATTTTCTAAATTAAAAATCAAGACATTTGATCTGGTGAGTGAGAGTGCAGGGCTGGGCATGGAGGAGTGTAACAACGGACACAGTTGATCCTCATCACATACTGTTAGTGCTCACGTGCATAAAACAAATTGGTGTATGTATATGAGGATCATAAAAATTACGCGCTATGCAGACCGAAAGAATTTAATATGTATTTACTTGGGAAGAGAGGACTTAGGGTTGTAGTATATATGAGCGAGGAACTTTTGGAAGTGGGATTCAATTACCTCTGCAAATTGAAGATAGAACTCTGGGAATTTCTGGTGAATGTTTCCGAGAGGTTGCGTTTGACTAAATGTGAGGAACAATTTCCTGATAGTAAGTTGCAAGATTGGAAATGCCCTTCATTGTGTTCCAGGCAGATTTCTTGGCTCTGGGAATATTCAGCTCAAGATCGAGAACATTCTAAGTCTACATCTAGAGTTCCAGTGTTAGAACTTTGTGCCATGATGGAAATGTTCTGCAATCTGTGCAGTCCTATTGTGGTAGCTAATAGGCACTTGTGGCTCTTGAGCATTTGAAATATACCTAATGAAACGGAGAAACTTAATTTTTAATTCACTTAACTAAGATAAATGTAAATAACCACATTTGTCTATTGACTGTCATTTGAGCTTCAGGTTCTAGAATCTACACTTTGAGACACCCTTCTGTTTCTTGATTTGATTGAGTTGAAGTCACAGAAGCCAACTCCTGAAACTTTTTTTTTTTTGCCTTAGGGAATGATAATTATATTCAAATAATGCCTTTCATTCAAATAGTATAGTTCAAAGCATGGGTCTGTTAGTAGTTATTTACAGCTTGACAAATTAAAGCATTCTTTGACTTCTAGGTTGTTCAGCTAATGCCAGATTCACTTGGAGAGCCATAACAGTACTAATTGGAGTTTCCTTTAATCACTATTGTGCTGTGTTGTGATCTTGGGTTTCCATTATCTTTTATTACTTTGGTTAATTTTCAGAGAAAACTTGTTTACTCATACCTGAAGTTTTATTCATTTGAAATTATGGTGCCTTAAAAATGTTTTTGGTATAGTAAAGTAATTTGGTTAGTTATAGTGGTAACTATTCAGCATTTGGTCATTTTGGAAGTAGTTTTCAGGCTATTGTATTCACAGTTTTTGGTGAAAATTTGGTGATACTTTACACAAGGGTATGTTCTTTGAAAAAGCTATTTTTCTTTTTAAGGCAAATTAGATTTAAAAATAAAACCTTAGAAAAGCCCCTTATTTATAGATAGCATCCTGAACTTTGGTATCAGTAAAATAGTGCCTTCAATGCTAAGGCTGAAGGTAATAGTGAGTTCTGCAACAATAAGGTAAAGCTTATGATAATGGTGTAAGGAGATAGTTCATGTTACGCTTACCAAAATGGATTGTTCTTAGGATGACTGTATATTCCACTTTTTCTGGGACAAGCATGGTGAGACTTGTTTGTCCCACCATAGTCATTAATAGAAACTGTTTCACTATCAAAAATGGCTGATTGGGAATATGTATCAGGATCGTGTATTATTTTTAGTGAAATTTATAATATATAATTTTAGGCAGATTAACCATATTGCACAGAAATGCATTCTCTTTAAAGCAGTGATAAAATTACTGTTTATGTGCTTTAAAATCAGATGAGCATTCTAGAATAAGGCCATTAAGTGACCTGCCCTTCCTTTTAAAGCACTAACAACTCAAAAATTTGCTTTTCCCTTATAATTACATAGAAATCTTAAGCAGCTTGATTTCATTACTGTACAGAAAGTCATCTTTTGAGGTAGAAGACTACAAAAAATGTTAGGCCATGTCAGTCAAATCCTTAGAATATGGATTCTTGTTGAAAATAACCCCTAGTTTATTTTATGGTGAGGTTGAACATTAAAATCATTCAGAAATCTGCTTATTATATATTAGATTGGAAAAGAAAAATTTTGCATATAGTTCTCTTAAATAATAAAAGTTGGCCAAATGCATTGTTATAAATTTACAGTAGTGCGTAAAATATTTTATTGAGTGTCAAAACACATTTGGTTTGAGTCCTCTGCTGAGGGTTAAATTGTGATGTGTTGGCTGCAGCACAGCACATAGGAAGTATTCAATAAATATTAGCTGCTATATACTTAAGTTTATTGAATAATAGATCTGGAAAAGATATTAATGTTCCGAGATGCAATTTGGTATCAGTAGAAGGAGAGCTTAAAAACTAATCTGCAAAACTTAGCCATTTGCTGCCATATTCCTTTTTTTTTTAAATTTTAAATTTATTTGATTTATTTGAATTTCAGTTTCCTCATTAGTAAAATGGAATTGCACTAGACCTTGAACACTGGGGGGCTAGGATTATACATCCCCAAAATCCTAGATGTTCTTCCTAGTCTACAAGTTTTGTACCCACAGATTCATTCAACTAACATCTGTGGTTGATTGAATTGGTGATTGCAGAACCCCAGGACAGAGAAAAATTCATGTGTCAGTGAACCTAATTCAAACTGATTCAAGGGTCAACTTTAACATCTAACTATCTCACCTCTTCACAGGATTGTTGGTGGGTTCAAAGGAAAATAAACTTATGTTGCTAAAGCAACATTTAACTGTTGTATTATTTTGCAAATATTTTAATATTTAATTGCCTTTATCTCAGCTTGTCCACCTAACATTTCCAGTAAACACTGACCATAAGTCTGCCAAAATTGTTTAGTTTGTGAATAATAATAGGCATTATTACCCAAAATAATTCTCTTTGACAAGTACTACCGTAAGTCATAGAAGTGGTATTTTATTGATTTGGTTACAATACAATCTCTATACAATAGGACTTCTTACAATGGCTAACGGAAAACTTACATTTTTCTAGGCATTTGATGCTTTCTGTGAGATCAAATGAGAACTAACCAGTGATTTATTTACTCAACCAAACATGTCATTACCACTTAATAGGTAATACTGATGAAGCTCTTAATTTCTGGAAAAGATCTACATTATACTAATGCATCTCACATCTGAATGATAGTTAATGGATATTGAAGGTTGAAGTAATGAATCTGAAAATAGTGTGCTATTTGGCATATAGTATATAACAGTTACTGGAAAAAAGTGTGTTCATTGAGTTTACTAGGCAATAAATTGAAATAATTTATGTGAATACACTATGAATTATAAAATACTATATAAATAAATGCATTATTCTAAAATATGAATTATACTTTTGGTATTTTAAATATTAGTGAGGTTTTGTAACTGACTTCTATGTCAGTATAGTACTAATTGCTCCATATATATTGTCTTATCATCTATGAGAGGAATATCCTTAATCTCCATTTTAAAATGAGGGAACTGAGACAGGGAGGTGATGTGACTTGCCCAAGGTCACATGTTAAGTGTTAGAGCCTGTATTTGAACTCCAGAGCCCAGCTCTTTACTGCTACATTGTGAGTTTTAGCATAGGCAGATGTTCACAACAAAGTTCACTATGACACACTGTGGAGATATTTAAGTTAATTATCATCAACTTTTATTTGTATGGTCTTTGTGGTGTAGTAGAAAGAACTCTGGACCAGGAGTCAGGGGACCTCAGTATTAATCCCAGGTGTATCACTAAATAGCTGTGTCCTTGGGCAGTTCAAGAAACCCCTCTGGACTTCAGTTTCCTCACCTGAAAAATGAGGGATTTGGATGAAATTAGTGATGTTCAAATGATTTCAAATGTCTTTGGTCCCCCTCCCGCCAATTTGCAAGGTACACTTTTGCTTATAATAGTTGTTTATCATCCTAAGATTCACTTTTAAGCAAAAACTTTCTGAAGTTACTTTTAGAGTCATTAGTTTGTAAGATAATGACAACACGAGTCTGCTGACTACTACTTGTATAATTTCTTAGCAGTTCCACATTACAAGTCTTTATGTAACATCCTCAGTAGGTTCCTTGAAATTGCAACTTTTAGTTAAGTGACTTTTTTTTTTTAAAGATTTTTATTTATTTGTGCATACAGAAGTGGGGTACAGGCCAGAGGCTCAGGGGCAACTTTTAGTTAAGTGACTTTTTTTTTAAAGATTTTTATTTATTTGTGCATACAGAAGTGGGGTACAGGCCAGAGGCTCAGGGGCAGCGAGAGGATTCTCCAGAGACAGAGTGGGGAGCAGAACAGGCAGATCGACAAAGTACACTGCTGAGGGGAGCAGCGGGCAGGCCAGGAGAGGTCTGCCGCGCCATGTGCGGCCATGTGGTCACCTCCGGGGCAGGCGGGGATTGAACTCATGTGGAAGTGGCTTTAGCTTCTTAGTGCTGTGCTTTAACCCGCTGCGCCACCAGGGAGAGTCTAGTTAAGTGACTTTTAAGGAAAATAGGTCCTTGAGTAATGTGAATATTCTCCAGTTTTTTTTTTTTTCCTCTTCATGTTATAACCAAATAACATTATTCAAGGATCTGTATTTCATGTTTTTTTTTTTTTTTAAAGATTTATTTATTTATTTGTACAGAACTGGGATACAGGCCAGAGATGCGGAGGGTGAGAGGATTCACCAGAGACAGAGTGGGGAGCAGAACAGACAGGTTGACGAAGTACACTGCTGAGGGGAGCACTGGGGGTGTCGTGGGCAGGAGAGGTCTGCCTGGCCATGTGGATCTCCTCCAGGGCAGGCGGGGATCAAACTCATGTGGAAGTGGCTTAAGCTTCTTTGTCCTGTGCTTTAACCCGCTGCGCCACCAGGGAGGGCCTATTTTGTTTTTTAAGGATAAATTTTTTTTTAAAGATCTATTTATTTGTGCATACAGAACTGGGTACAGGATCGAGGTGTAGGGGCGGTGAGAGGATTCACGGGAGACAGAGTGGGGAGCTGAACAGGCCAATTGATGAAATACATTGCTGAGGGGAGCAGCTGGGGGTCAGGAGAGGTCTGCTGCGCCTTGTGGGTCACTCTGGAGCAGGGATTGAACTCATGCTGAAGTGGCTTTAGCTTCTTAGTGCTGTACTTTAACCCACTGCGCCACCAGTGAGGGTCTAAAGATCAATTTTTATTTATTTATGCATATAAGAACTGGAGTATAGGCCAGAAGTATGGAGGTGAGAGGATTCACCAGAGACAGAGCTGGGAGCAGAACAGGTGGGGAACAGAACAGGCAGGTTCACTGAAATACACTGCTGAGGAAAGAAGCAGTCAAGATAGGAGAGGTCTTCTGTGCTGTGAGGGTCATCTCCCTGCAGTGGTGACTGGTAATAACTTGATAGAGCTGAGACTTTAATCCTTGCTCTATCAGGGAGGCCCCAGATCTGTTGTACTTTAAAGTGTTAAAAAAGCAGATATCTTTTGCAAATGAGAAAAACAAAAGCATTAAAATGGGAGAATATTAGGGACTTTTTATATGAAAACAAATGGAATAGAAATCTACATTAGTATTAGACTAAAGAAAAATGTAATAATAGAACTTAATATTTCTTTGAGTTGTTTGTTACAGGGCTCCTCTGGGTTAAAAAAGTTGTTTATGTTCACAAGTAGGATATACATGTCTGTAATGAATTTCCATAATCATCCAGATGTTTTATTATTTTTTCAAATCAGAATTATTTTTTGAGTGCCTACTTACATGGCAGCAACTATCTTTTTTTTTCCTTTTAACATCCCTCTGAGATAGACATAAATTATTCTTGACAGATGGAGAAACTGAGTTTGAGAAGTCAATCTTTATTACCAGTTTCTATATCAACTAACCTTCTTAACAAAAACTCTATGACCATGGTATTTTTTATTGTATTTAATATATGACCATGAATAAGTCATATTTATTTTTTTCTGCCTTACAACTTATGTCACAGAACTGCTATAATTTTTTTTTTTGCTTGAATGTCTAAATCATGTCTCAGATATGGCTTAAATTTAGCTCTTTCTTCTTTCCAAACCTAACCCATCTCAATAAATAGTACCATCATTCGTTGTCTAGACACAGGAGGATATTTCTTTAGATTTTTTTTTGTTACTTATGATTTTCAAAGTACATTCGCTTTTGTACTTAATAGTTGTCTAGTGTGTTAATTTGTTATATATTTTTGAACTGCAGTTAAACATGATGTATTTTCAGATTGTAATAAATTTTAAATCTCAGTGCAAGTTGCCCATAATTATTGACTGGGTCTGATGCTCCTCCTCCAGTATCATAATACTTTGTGCATTGTCTTTAAACTCTTAATTTTAGTATGCTACAAACTACTAAAAGGCAAAAATGTGTCTTGTCTTTATAATCATCTTTATACCACTGGTCATTTATTCATCTAACATTTAGTATATAGCCTTGTCAACCTAATTTATAGATGCCAAAACTACAGATAAAGCAGTTTGCAGTTTGAAGATGAAGAAATAGTCACTTTACTTGACATTAGTGTGAGAAATGTTGTGAAAGATGCAGCTTATTTCATTTTCTGGACTCATGTAAGTAAAGTTTATAATTGTGAAAATGGTAGCTTCAGAAAAGTTGCTAATTGATCTAGATACAGATCCAAATTACGTATGAGCTATTTTTTGATTATTTATGTTTTTTTTAGGTGATTTATATCTTCAAAGTCTACTTGAGATAGTGCATATATAAATATATTGGAATTAATGTGTTTTTTCAAGATTTTGCATGTTTTATTTTTTTTGCGTGTTCAGTGATTAATCAGTAGAATTATATTTCGCAGCAAGAGAAATTTAGATCATACTGTAACTAGAATGTAGTGTAACCATAATTGCTTCCTGCCTTTGGAGTTTATGAAAATGAAATGTTCTGATTATGACAGCTTTATATTATGTGGGATGTTCAGGTTATGAATGATTAGAATTGAGACTAGATGCCCAGAATCAGTATATAGATAGACCTGCTGTATTAATTTTCCTTATCAATGATACAGTAGAAGAAATGATAGGTAGTTCCAACTGTCTTTTAATAAGTAGAGGTACCAATGGATTTCACAGTACAGAGTTCATGTTTGAAGGTGCTATGCATAAAGCTTTTAACTTGTTGAGCTCTTTTAAATAAATGTTTCATGATATTTCTTCTTGGTCATTTAGTTACCAAAATTATGAGCTCTGTATAGAAACCTAGTAATATATTCACTACATTTTTATTTAATTCATATTTGTGATGTATAACTTTACAGTTAAAACTTTTTGTTGTCTTTTCTGAGGAAAGGGGTGCATTCTTAAATTCCATTGTTTTAAAGGAAAAGATGTTAAATTTTCTTCTCTGGAACAGGATTTTACAGGTGTGACATAGTATTGGCTATTGCCTTAATGATTTGGTTTAAATAGTATTAATCAGAAGTGAACTTACTCATTGGGTTCACATTTAAACTGTGGCATGTTGAAATAATCTAGGTCTCCATCTGCACATCTGAATTCATTTTGTAAAATATGGCAAACAGCTGCATTTCAATTGAAAGCTAAAACAACTGTAGGACATTAACCCATTGAGAAGATTACAGTAGGTTTTCAGTTCCATGTTAACTGTATTTATTAGAGAAAATTGACTTGAGTGCTTCTGCTTTTAACTGACTTTTAAAAAAAATGTCTGGGAGAAAGGAAATAAAGCACTGGAATGATCAGACTTTGATGTATAAGAAGTTAATGTCTAAAGAAGTTAATTAGCTAAATCATCAAGTAAATTTTGGTACAGGAAATAATTAAAGATCCTAATGAACTGTCGGCTCATCAAGTCAAGAAAAATGTTACTCACCTGTTTGATTTAAAAATTAAATAACCTGGCTGTGAAAGGATGCTAGTAGTTATAATAAAGTAGAATTCAGACTTTTACCTCTTTTCAGTAAATACTCTTGATGTGAAACATTTGCAATAGGGGACAGTCAAAGAAAGCTGGGGTTGTACTATGAATTTACTTTCTGAAATGTCTTTTCTTCAGAGTGCTTTAAAGTGGGGTGATTGCATTTGCAAAATGAAAAAGGGGGCTGATTACTCTAGCAGTGTCTTAGGATACTGGCTACCTGATAATCACAGAGTGGCATTTCTTCAAATTTGAAGTGAGGCTACTGAAATCATGAGGTTGGGGTTAATGCATAATCTTTGAGTTTAGCATTTTCTTCAGGATATCCTATCACTGTTGGTTTTCTATAGGGATAATAGGGAAACATTTTTCTAAGGTTCTTGAGAAATCCAAGCTCCTGTATTATTATATTCTGGTTCTTTGAAACAGTACAAGTTTTTAGTTTCATGTCTATTTTCCCCATCTTTGACTGATGACATGATTTTTTTTTATATATCTGAGTTTCATAGATAATAGTTCTTTTCCAGTTTATAGGGGGAAAAAAAGGACATATTAGGCTTACAAAAAGTGATAGTCTTTCAGAGCATTAGTTACCTGCGTGTTTTAGAATTTTGTTTTTCAAGCTCATTTTTGGTGAAACAGTTTTCCATCTTTTTTGTCTATTGGCTTTGCTGTATTCCTAGGGTTCAGCCCTCAGATTGGACAGGGTTTATCTGCTACAGAGGGTTATTGAGATTTTCTAGCTCTAGCTCAAACTCTACCCCTCCCCCATTTTTATTGTGCTGCTTGTTATCTTTGTCTTGTTTTCTTCTCAAAAGTTTCACTATATGAACTATCTCAGGAAGTAATTTATAGTTTTTTTGTTTTTTTTAGCCTTTCCTGTGATCTAGCTCTTCATTTCAAACCTAGGTGAATGACCTTGATTCAGGTTTCTTTTGTAATTGTAGCCTCCATTACCCACAGGAGTAGTCAGATTAGAGAGATGTTTAAGGAGAATAATTTGGCAGCAATGTGGAGAGTAAATTGAGATGGAAAGAGAGGAGCTCTAAGTAGAGCTCACAAAGGGCCATGGCAGTAGAAAATGATGGGAAAAATATTACATCAACAATGCAGCATTTATTTGACTTCTTATAAATTACAGGGCAAGATAAAGGAGTCAGAAATAATGAGATGTTGAATTAGGGTCACTAGTGACAAGAGTGATGCCAATGGTGAAATAAAACTTGTAAGGAAACTACTTAATATTTGTTGAATTTTATTGAGGCCTTCTAGTGAAAATATTCATGTTTCTTAAGGTTTTTTGATTGTGAAAAAAAGGGTAATCTAAATTTGTCATAAATTTTTTTAAAGATGATCATTAAAGAAAGAACTTTTAAGGCTTCTGTTTATAATGACAGCTATCATTATGTGTCTACTTTGTGCTTAGATGATTTCATGCTTTGCATGTATAATTAGTTCATTAAATTCTCACAATAGCCCTAAGAAGGTAGAAATATTTCCATTTTACAGGTGAGGAAACTGAAGCTCAAAGAAGTTAAGTAATTTTCTAGAAAAGTAATAGAGTTGGATTTAAACTTAGGAAGTCTGACAATTAGCTTAGTATGCTTAACAAGTTCTCAGTATTGCTGTAATTTATTATATTCTAAATGTGTGAATTCCTCTCTAGACTGCACAGAGTATTTCTATTTCAAAATAAACTATAGTTTTACAAAGTTTACATAAACACAAAATAATAACTAATATTTATTGAACTCCTGCTGTATAGTGGTTGAAACTTTTATCTACTTTCCTTTTTTAATGTTATTTTCACTGATTCTTGCTTATGGGACTGCCATATGCGTTAAATAGTATGGCATTGGCATCTTGTTTTTTAGTTATGCTTAATAAGCTTGATTGGGGAAACATTAAATCAGTAAGTTACTTACCCATAAGATCGTAGAAAATCACTGTTTCTGATCTACAGATTGATTTTCTCTTATTTGTATTTTATACTTTGAATCAAATGGAAATTTAATTATGCTGTAGTTTTCTAACTTTATATGTGGGATTCTGTCTTAAAAATGATAACCCTGGCCCTCCCCGGTGGTGCAGCGGTTAAAGCACAGCACTGAGAATCTAAAGCTACTTCCGCATGAGTTCGATTCCCGCCTGCCCCAGAGGTGACCACATGGCGCGGCAGACCTCTCCTGACCCGCCCGCTGCTCCCCTCAGCAGTGTACTTCCTCGATCTGCCTGTTCTGCACCCCGCTGTGTCTCTGGTGAAGCCTCTCACCCTCCGCATCTCTGGCCTGTACCCCAGCTCTGTATGAATAAATAAATAAATCTTTTTTTTTTAAAAAAAGATTTATTTATTTATTTATTTGTGCATACAGAACTGGGGTACAGGCCAGAGGCTCAGGGGCAGTGAGAGATTCTCAGTGCTGTGCTTTAACCTGCTGTGCCACCAGGGAGGGCCAAGAATAAGTAAATAAATCTTTAAAAAAAAATGATAACCCACTTGAGAAGCATCAGACTTGTTCTGGTGTTCTACATGGACGTAAGGGCTGGGGGAGGCATTTGCTCCCAAGGACCATTTGGCTTTCCTCACATTATTGCCAGTGAACCTTAGGATTCTCGGAACACATTCTAAAAAGCCCTGTGCTCTATAAAAATACACTGTGATTCTCTTATTATTAAAACGTACTGAAATGTTTATCTGAGTACTTTTTTGATGCTGTGCTTGACTAAGCAGATTTTTCATTTTTATTGTTTCACTTAATGAAAAACATTAGGTATGAATAAATCAAATTTACATAAAATAAATCAGAAATTTAAAAATTTTCTGTACTTTCTTGAACTAATTTATAATCGCTTCTCTTTCCATGCGTTTAATTATAGTTAAATACATTTTGTAAACTTTATTTCACTTTTTTATTTAGATGAATAATACTGCAGCAAGCCCAATGTCTACTGCTACTTCAAGTAGTGGAAGAACTACAGGGAAGTCTGTAAGCTTTGCAGCAGAATTACAGAGTATGATGTAAGTATGTCTCTGCATCTTCCTTACTACTGAATTTACTTATGTTGATAAAGACAGTAGGAATAACAAATTATAAGACTTAGAAATTTGGGCTAGTCAAGTAAAAATGAAATAGTTGATAACATTTTCAATAGCCATCTGCAGAAGAGGCAAAATGTGTTACATATATTGGTATATTTAAAAAAGTAAGATTTGATTCATCTTTGTGTGAATGACATAATGAATCATCTTGTAAACATTTTTGGTTCAATTATCTGCTGAAATCTGTGATGAATTATTACTATTTTAGTTTTAGATTTAGAAAATTTTGAGGTTTCCTGTATTCTTGGATAATGGAAATGTTTTCACAGAGTTTACTTCTCAAATGTCATAATGCTTCTGAGTCTACTTTAGTTCTTATAATATTTGAAATTACTGTATTTCCGAGTGTTGAGAAAATTTTAGGACATTTAAAGAACTGTCAATTTTTTTTAGAAATTGTGTACTCATTAAGATTTGCTTTTCTGCGACTCTTCAACTTGATTTTATTGTCTCTTGTTTGAATGAGATTTCAATTTGAAATCTTTGTTATGTATGTCTAATGGTATGTACACATTTTCCTTTATTATTAGTTCACCAGGTAAATATTTGCATAAGGGGGATAATACATAGGGACATCTTTTCCTATGGTCTCTTATTCATGTCTTATTAGGTAGTTTTAGAATAATGTTTCTGTTGGAAGCTTATGTGTCCTCTTATGGCTGTATATAGATGTCATAGTGGATTAATCCCAGTTTGTGGTGATTTTAGTTCAAAAGAAAAATGAGTATATACTTAACACTTTAATCAACATTGAAAACATTTTGGTCATAGCTTCTCAAACATTTTGGTTTCAGAATCCCTTTACATATAATTACTGAAGATAAAACAGTGTTTATATAGATTATATCTACTAGCATTTAATACTTCAGTGTAAAATAAAATTCTTAATTCATTTAATCACTTGTATTCATTATATGCTAGCTTAATGTAAATCCCATGAAACAATTACATTTTAAAACCAAAAACTGGTAACATGTTTTGTTAGATATATGAATAAATATATGAATTTAAGAAAAGGAGATGTGTGAAAATATTATAAAGGGTTTGAGCTTATGTATACTTTTGTATGTTAAGTTTTATCATTACTTGTCAGTGGTTTTGTTAAGAATATTTTATATTCTAGTTATGTTAAAATGAATTAAGTGTGCTGTAGGTTTATAAGGTGAGGATGTTTGTTTTACTGTTGAGCCCATTAACTAATTTACTTTTGTACATTAAAAATTTTTTCTTCTCAAAATTTTGACTCATAAAATTATATAGTGAATAATACAACCAACCGTGGGCATCCACTATCTATCTTTAATAGTAAATGTGATCTGCCAGTCTTATTTAACCTTTCTTCCTACTCCTTTTTAAAAGAGGAAATAATTTAAAGAAATCCCAGACATGACATTTCAGTATTGTGTGTTTAAACAATATTATTAAAAGGTAAAACAACATGTTCCTTAGCAGAGATCAGCTGATGACAGCCATGGGGCCCATGGACTGGCTCCTGTTTTTGAAAGTGAGATTTTATTGGGCCACTGCCATACTTATTCATTTGTTACTGTCGTTGCTTTCATGTTAGACAACAGAGTTGAGTGTGACAGAGATCACATAATTAATAAAGCTGAAAATACTATATGGAAGTACAAAAATACTTGTTTTCATGTTGTAGTAAAGGATGACCACTGATCAATGGAAATAATAGCTCTAAAGAGGAAAGTGGTATTTTGTCTTTTGTGCAAAGGAGTGGATCTTACATTGCATTCTGTGGGTAGTAGGACACTTAAGTAAACAAGAAAAAAAGTTAAATTCAGCACTTTGTATAAAATACTTTTGCAAACATCTTCCCAATTGATGTGCTTAAGTTGGATAGAAAATGCAGAAGTTATTGTTGGCTCCAACTTTGGAATAAAGGTATATCTTACTTTTCCTCCAAACCTCATGCAGATGCCATTCCTAACAGTTATTTAATGTAGTCTGAAGTTATTTTTTCCTCTTATGTATTGCTTCATAGAATAGTTGTTCCACAGAAAAAAGGGTCATAATTGGAGGAATCCTTTTAAATTTGTCAATATTTCCTGTTGTTATGTAAGGTTTTGGGCTTTTGGTTAGAGAAAAATTATTTCAATATATTTTGATCCTTGCTTATGTCATTTCAGGTAAGAAAGTGCAGACTTGAGTTACTGTGTTTTATTTTGTGTTGTGGGAATTTTGTTCTGTGAGTCCCTACCATACATCTGTGTGGTGTAAGGTTTCACAGTTCTAAACTGTTTATATTGCCACTTTTCAATCCTCTAGTGCAACTGTCTTTCAGACCAATTGCCATTAAGGAGTTTTTTCTCTTGGTTCCCTGCCCTCTAAATAAGTGACATCATTGTAGTATTTCCAGGAAATGGTTTTACTAAAAGGTATCTAGTTGTTAAGCACATGAACTTACCATTCTGTTAATTAAATATAGAACTGTCAGTCAGTCTGTCCTACTAGAACCTTGATAGAAGCTGTATTTCAAGTTTGGTTGGTAAATACTACCAGTGAAGTATTCTTTTTTTTTTAAGGATTAATTTATTATACATACAGAACTGGGGTACAGGCCAGAGGTGCAGGGACGGTGAGAAGATTCACCAGAGACAAAGTGGGGAGCAGAACAGAAATACACTGTTGAGGGGAGTAGCGGGCGAGTTAGGAGAGGTCTGCTGTGCTATGCGGATCATATCCTGGCGGGGATCAAACTTGTGCTGGAGTGGCTCTAGCTTCTTAGTACTGTGCTTTAACCTGCTGCACCACCAAGGAGGGCCCTACCAGTGAAGTATTCTTTAGGCAGTGACTCTATAAATTTTAAATTAAAAAATTAGCAGGTGAAAAATTGCTGTTGGTTTTGGTAGGACAGCAGCTTTCCTTTACTTAGTGCACTGAACTGAGCACACCAGCTATATATATGATCCTCTTCACAGCACATCACTGAATGAATTGTACTGGAAGGGTCCAGAGATTTTTCATTTTTACTGAGTTTAAGTAGCCTGTAAACAAGAAAGCAAATATTTTCAACTTACTTGCAGATATTTTAACAAACTTCTTGAGTTTCAGTTTAAGTTACTTTGAATCTTCATTGACTTTTCTTTTTCTTATTTGTATATTTTTGTCCCTTGCTATACTGTACTTTTTCAGATTTTTAGGTGATGAGGCCAGGTATCTTTAGTTGGTAACATTTAGTAAGTCTCAAGTCACCAAATTCTTTTTTTTCCCTAATTTTATTTTTTAAAAGTTCTTTTTTAAGATTTATTTATGCATACAGAACTGGGGTACAGCCAGAGGTGCAGGGGCGGCAGAGGATTCACCAGTGACAGCGTAGGCAGATCGATGAAGTACACTGCTGAGGGAGCAGCAGGCTAGATAGGAGAGGTCTGCTGCCACTATGTGGGTCACCTCCAGGGCTTGGGGATCGAACTCACTGCAGCTACTAGCTTGCAGTGCTGTATCCTAACCCATTGCGCCACCAGGGAGGGCATCAAGTGACCAAATTCTAAAAGCAATTTTGTTTACATATTACTTACATTTTGTAAGAACTCTTCCAAATGAGAACTTTTTTGTTAAAGACCACAGATTGAGGACTTTTATTTAAAATCAGTTTTCTGATAAGGTAAAATTTGTTCTTTTACTCATATAGTTCTGCAAGTTTTGCATTTTTTAAAGTGTTTATTGAATCCTAGCATTACTTAAATGCCTTTGAGATAATCTAGCAATAGAGAAGGGTTGTGGAGACCAGTAATTGTCATGTAATAGGATATGAAAAATTGCATACTGTTGTACAAAAGGAAAGATTGATGAACTGAGGGTAAATTTCCTAACTTTGGGTATGTTCTTCTCACTACCTCTTGGTATGTCCATTAAGTATTTATGAGCACCTCAAAACTGTTATATGTAAATCGGAATTAGTTATTTTCTCAGTTAAGATTTGCTTTGCCGCTTAGAAATTTTTGGGATAAAAAAATTTATTCCACTTATTCTTTGCTGCACTATACTAGAATATAAACATATAGGTGCAATGGTATCATTTGGCTCTTATTATAATGAGGTTATAGATTGTGATAGAATATGTTTCTGGCTTATCCTTAAACTTTGAAGAAATGTAATATGCAAATACATGCATTTTTGCAAATACATTTTAACACATAATTGTAAAACTAATATATATATTGAGTTTCCCTAGTACATTTAAATTATTTAGAAAACTGCAAGTAAAAGAATTCTTAGAGGTTAAATATTACAATTTCAGTGATGCTTTAATAATGACAATTATAGTAGTCAATGCTTGTATAGAGCATATTGTGTGCCAGGCACTCCTCTGAATACTTCTTTATTCCATTTCATTTAATCCTCACAAACTCTTAAGAGTTAGATACTGTTACTCCACTTTCATAGATGAGAAAATTGAGACACTAGCTAGTAACTTACCCCAGATGCCCTTATTGTAACGGCAAGACCCGGATTTAAACCAGTAAATCTGACTCCAGAGTTCATGCTCTTGACAGTTATGCTAAACGACATTTCTTTCAATAAAACTTTTATTGTAACTTATAAAATTTAGTTTACAAATGACCTATTAGTTTATGTGTGACTAGTGTGTTGTAATTAATGATGTGAAAGCTAAATAATTGTCCAGTTCATTATTTATTAGTAATGAAGTTTAATTTTTATAGAGAATATTAGATTAAGTTTTTATTTTCATATTATCATTGCATTTATTTTGGTTTCTTATACTAACCACCAGATCTTTTTAATATAGTAACCAAGAGGAAATAAAGTTTTTCATCAATTATATACATATAAACTCACTAATGTTAGTTCATAAATGTGATATTTCATAATTTTGGTTATAAACATGGCCACGTCATTACTGTTGAATATTTGAATATTCATTTTGATTTTATATTTAT